TCAGCGTTCAGAGGCGGTGCGTCGTCTTGCTGGAAAAATATATTTTCGAGTTCCATTAAGGGCATATCATCAATAATGGGTCCAAAGCCTACTAATTAAAAGTGGCGAACTTTTAAAAATTCTGTATTTCGAAGGGGATTATAACAAAATATCAAGTGTGCTATATTTTTGGAAAGGCAATTTTAAATTCTCTTCGGTTAATTAAAAATATAGAGAGTGTCCCAAATAAAAAACCAATTTTTCTGTTGATAACTCTTAAATTATTAATGTTAAAAAAATTATACTTAAACCATTAAATTCTACGTAAAAAGGTGCTTTGGAAATGTTTTCTTAGAAATACAAAATTTTCCCTAACAAAAAAGTTAAGCGATTTGTTAAAAATGCACATTTTTGAAAAATACCCCGTAACTCCGAAACGGTAACAGATATTGATATGCGGTTTTCACCATCATATTTTTGATGAAAATTGAGCTCCAGACACCGATATTAGTTTTCGTCTATCATCTATAGAAAAGGGTGTTTCCATTTAAAAGCGTCGAATTTCTTGTATGACTTTATAGAAATATCCTATATATCCATATTTAATTGTTGCTATAGCAGTTATCAGCTTCACAATTAACAGTTATATATATTATATCAATGTATATAATATGTAAAAATGTTTAAGGTTTATTGTAGAATATATTTTTTAATACATTTGAATCCTTTCAATTAAAGAGAATTCATCTAAAGGTTAAAAATTGTATGTTATTCCTACAAACTGCTTCGACGTAAAATAGTTCTAATGCATGTCACATAATGCTATTATTGAAAGAAAACTTTAAAGCTGTCAATATTAATGTTACTGTTTCCTAATACACAGACTGTTACTTATGTGTGCTTGCCTGTATGACTTAATAAATTATTTCTTGTTTTATGATGGTTTGCAATTTTAAACAATTTTATTTATTATTGTAATATTTTTCTTTTCAGTAGAACATAATGTACCAAATTTTGTGAGTTAGTTTAAATCTACAATATATTTGAATATCTCTGTTATTACATATTTTATTAATCAAATTATCTATTGAGTTTATTAACATATTAACCATAGTACGTTATTGATAAACCATGCTTAAATAGATAAGATATACAGGGTCACTTTTATGTATGTAAACGGTCGATTATTAGGTAAAATATAGGAGGTACCGCAAAAAGTTAAATATTAAAGGTATAGAGTTTATAAATATCTATTAGCGGGTAATAAATTTAAGTATACAGGGTTGGTCATAAAGTCGTGGCACATCAACGTTTCATTTTTTTAAATGGATCCCTCTGTATATTATTGTATATTCCTTCAATTCTAAGCAAAAATCAAAATACACACAATGAACCTCAAAGCAACTGTTTCCGAGTTATTGACTTTTGAAAATATCACTTAAACAATTTGATTTAATTAATTTCGATATGTTCAGTTTCATTTAACGATGTCAATTTGCTGAAACTGTGATACTTAATAATATTTGACGCTAGTTCTCAAGTTCTCAAGCATTTATAGATGTATAAAATGAGAGTATATCAAGTCTCTGGAAATTAGAAAATGTTCGTTTAGCATTTCAATTCTTCAATTTATATATATTGTGTATTAAGATTAGTGTGTAAAATTGAAGAAAGAAATGAATAAATTGCAATAATATACAGGGGGTTTCATTTAAAAAAAAAGTTTGATGTGACACAAATTTATGACCGACCCTGTATACTTATATTTACTAGTAGCTAATCGGAATTTAAAAACCCATTACAACAGTATCACACTTTCGGCAGAACGGCATCATTAAATGAAACCAAACACATCGAAATTAATTAAATCGAATTGTTTAAGTGATATTTTCAAAAGTCAATAACTCGGAACGGGTTGCTTTGAACTATATTTCGATTTTTGCTTAGAATTGAAGGAAGAATTGAAATATGTAATAATATATAAGGGTTCTATTTTAAAAAATGAAACTTTGATGTGCCATGACTTTATGAATGACCCTGTATACTTAAAATTATTACTCACTAATAGATATTAAAAAATCCTATAACTTTTGTATTTAACTTTTTGGTTTGGTTTGATAAAAGCGACCCTATCCATAGCGATATTTATCTAAATAACAAGGTGAAGACTGTTCAGCCATAAAAATATAGTTTTAACAGTCCTGTGACCATTATAGATATCGACTTCTTGACCGTGTAGAATCACAGAACTAACACATTCATAATAAATGAAATTCTACAAGAAACAACAACCAAAAAATTCTCGAAATGTAGCTGTCAACTGTTATATGCTTGGATTTAAATATTTCACGTGTAATATCATTCCGCCATTCAACTTTAATTGTAAAGTTATCGACTAAACATCAATAGAATGAATTAATACTTCAAAATATCCAGAATGTCTGACGATTATTTGATATTTGTTTGAAAGGCCAATATCGACTCTGAAATTCAGCACAGGATTAGCAGCGCCTCAAGAGCATTCTGAAAATTAAAAGACAGGATTTTCTACAATCATGACTTGAGCACAAAAACGAAACTTGCAGTGTATCGAGCGATAATAATTCCCACCATGTTATATGGAAGCGAAACCTGGGTGCCGTACCGCCGACACATGAACGCATTAAACAAGTTGCAACAGAGACATCTCAGACAACTCTTAAGAATAAAATGGTTCTATCATGTCTCAAACGTATCGGTCCTTGAACAAGCTAACTGCGAGAGTATTGAAGTTATGATTACAAAGTCCCGCTTAAGATGGACTGGTCACGTATGCTGAATGCAAGAAAACTGCATACCAAAATCTCTGCTTTTTACGGTGAGCTTGTAGACGATAAGAGGGGGCCGAGTTGACAACTGAAAAGGTTCAAGGATAATTTCCACGAAAACTTAAAGGGTATTAACAAGCAGAATGAGTGGGAAGAGGCAGCTCACAATAGAACGGAATGGAGAAGAATTATAAAGTCAGTTAACAGCGACAACCAAAAAGTAAAGAGGCAACAAAGCAATGAGATTTTTGAATGTCTGGAGTGCGGTAGACAGATAGCATCACGTATCGGGCTTTTCAGTCACAGAAAAGCTCATAAAAGAAAACGCCTTGCATGACCATCTTCTGATGCGTGTCAAATACTCGTCAGCGAGTAATGGCGGTACGGTATGGTATTTGTTTGATCTAAAAATCTTATAATGCGGTTTATTGGATTTAAGATAAATTATGTAAAGACAGCTCTAAAGTTTTCCAACAGATAATTTTGATTTTGTATGTTTATTTGTACACACTCAACTAATTCTGAGTTCCAATGTGGATATTGGGTAACATCTAAATAAGGCACTGATCAATATGATCAAACTAAAAAACCTGGATCCACATAACAGCTTCTCACAATGATCCTTAATTATTAACATCTAAAATGAGGTATGTTGTATATGAATAATGTAAACATTTATGTTAACTAAACACTTTTTGTGATATGTTTCTTGTTTCATACGATATGTTTTTGACTTTACATTTTTAGCTCATTTTTATAATACCTACAAAAGCGATCATTTTTCCTCTACGATTGCAAACGTTTTAGAAATTCACAATGAATTATCTTTTGTGTCCCATGTAATAAATACCTAAATAATATTAAAAAAGCTTGTTGAATATCGCGATTCAAAAAGAGCATTTAGCAAAATTATTTTTAGACTAATTTTTGAGCAATGATTACTACCTAATAGTCGCCTTTGATGTTGTATAAATATATTACTTGTAATAATAAAAAAATTCTGAATTAGAGTATTTGCTTTTCCTCTTGTCCATGTGTATTAATATGGAAGAAATTAATATTTTCTAAGCTGAAAATAAATTGTAATTTTAATGACATTTCTTACAACCAGGGCCGAATTCTGTAACTTTTCTTTTAGACGCTCAGCGTATATGACGTTAATTTTCGCTTAGCGCGCACTTAACTACCGATTTGGGTATTCTCATCTGTCGCGCTTACCGTCTATACTGATTGCGCTAGCGATTAGAAAACGGCTACCTTAAAGCATTGTTTTGCTTGTCGAAGTGTCAGTAAAAATTGTAATTTTGTGCGTTTTCTTGCTCTTTAGTGAAAATCGACAACCAAAAAGTAAAGAAGCAACAAACCAATAATATTTTTGAATGTCCGGAGTGCGGTAGGCAGATAACATCACGTATCGGGCTTTTCAGTCACAGCTCATGAAAGAAAACGCCTTACGTGACCATCTTCTGATGCATGGCAAATACTCGTCAGCGAGTAATGGCAGTATGTATGTATGTAGTACAAAATCACTTCTTCTATAAATTTCTCAATAAATAATTAATAATTTACTACTTGGCAGCTATAAATATTGTTCAAAACATCGAAAATGCTGAGAAGTCTTCAACATTTCTAAGATGTCTTCAACATTTCCGTCGTATAATAAGAATAATGGCATATCCATAGAAAAATAAGTTGACATAACTCAACAATGGGTTATGAAATTTACGTAACATTGACTTTTTCATCGTTCATACATATTGAAACAAGTTTAGATTGGAAAGTGCCCATAAGGACAATGTAAATACTATTTGGCCATATTCTTGCAACGATCGCGACCCAAAGCTTTTGATAATTTCGGAGCGATTCAGATTTTTCCGGAATTATTTCGCCAAATATTATTTATTCAAATTTATTATTATTTTCTTTTAATTTTATAAATAAAATACAGCATACTTTTTTTTATATAAAGACATGTATGAAATATGAAATACCTATGAAACATTGGAAACCGACGTTATGCCATGATCCACGATGGTTTTTGCAGTTCACAGTACAGCTTTTTAAGTTCTTAATGCCACTTTTTCACAATTATCACGGGGTTGAGTAAATAAAATTTAAATTAAACTCACAACATAGCAATAATTACTTTGAAAACAGACGCTTTTTTTAAACACTTTTCGGAATTTTTTCCAATGAGAGTGGTTTAGATTTTGAAAGATTTTATAATTTTTGAAGATTCTAACTTTGACAAGAGATGTGGACAAGAGAAATTTATTTCTGTTTTTGTAATTTTTTGTAATTTCTGCTATAGCAATGCCAGATCGCGTACAACGGTCGAAACCCAAAACAATTTTGCGACCCAAAATTTTGACAGGCATTTCATCTAAATTCATTTCCTATTTCTTAAATTTATACCTTATCTATGTCATCGTTTTATCCACATTTGACTATTAGAAAAATTGTAATGCTGCCAATATGTGCTCAACGCGTATCCAGAAAACGATTCGCATGGCAACGAGAATAGCAAACCTGCTTGGCGTTCCGCTAATGGAATACTTTTCGCTTATCACTTTGAAAACGTAATGTTTTTATGTCGAAGATCCGGAATTCGGGTCCAGTAGGTACTGCAAGTAAGAAAAAAACGGCGGCTTCAAGTTGGCTTGGAAATGAAGATCGGTGACAATTACCAATATAACAGCCACCTAAATTTCCAAGCTAACATTGACGTCGCCTTTTGTTTTCGATCATTTAGTTAGTATGATACATTTAAGTTAAAACCATAACAAAATTTAAAAAAAAATGGATGATTCATCTGCCTTTCGAGTTTTTTGCAGAATTATCCATATTAATACATATGAGACAGAATTTCCACAGGATAGCAAAATAAAACTGCTAATCTGATTAAAACTAGGATATGATTTAAGTGTTAGTCTTCTGGCCAACCCATATCTTCACCTACCAAATCATAAAATTTTTGATTATGTTCGCCGAAGTACCTTCTCAACTTCGAGACTACGTGGGGATCAACTCTGGGATGTTTTCTGCCTTTAGTTTCTCTTAAACATCTGTCAGCTGTTTCATTCCTTAAGCAGTAGAAACCTTTGGTTTCGTTAAAATAAAAGTTATGGCTATCGATCTTCGGTTCCAGGCCGAGGAATTTCTCTATTCTCTTCAGTTGAGGGACCGGATCTTCGATAAGTTGATCACCATTGACGATGAGAAGTTGGTCTCTAGAAAAAACCTGAGAAAATAGCAAATTTAGTATGTTGAAGTTGATATAAACAAGATTTGAATTTGAATTATTTTTAACACAATCCTATTTTTAAATAAACTTTTTTATTACTGTTGTTTTAAAACACTTAAAACTTTATTACCTACTGTTGGAAATAACGAAACGATTGGTTTTTAGAATTAAGATTACTTGTCTTAAGTTTACAAATTATGAATGTAAGAATGCAATTAATTGTAAAAAAGTAGATTGGAACCTATAAGCTAAAACAGAAGTTTACACAAATTTGAAGTATTGAACTACTTGTGGGGGGGGGTGGTGTTATGGTTTACTTAATAACGACTAACTACAAGTTTACTTAATAACGACTAGTTATACGGGAGTGAGTCTTAAATAAGTGCGAATATTTTAGGGCTGGTATATTTCGATCCCAGAAACACGATTGAAATTTTTGTTACGCAAAAACAATGTTTGTAAATTAGTAATTTTTTGAAAAAATGTTTGGAAATATTCTTAGTTAAAAACATAATTTCTTGATAATATGGCAACATAGGTAGTAGGTTAAATTTACAAGAAAGAACATCCTGAAAAAAATCATGATTCTCAAAATTTTAGCAAAAAAAATTCTTTTTGGAAATTTTCAAAGTGAAATAACTCAGTTATTTTGGATTTATTTTAAAAACGGCAAAGAGAAAATATGTTTCTTTTATCGAGATTGGAGGATCTCGATAAAAGAAACGTATTTTTATAACTATAATATTTGCACTTATTTAAAACTCATCCTGTATATAATCGAAACATAGTGTAAAAGTTCAGCATTAAATGCAATAACAATTCAAACAGATTGAGTATTACATATGTCCATAGTGTTCAAAAAATATTTTAAATACACCTTTACTTAGATATAGATATTATTAATTGCTTACCTCTAACCATCTGTGCAGATAATGGTGGTAGACAGATATAGCAAGAGGCCGATAAGCCTCATTGACGGAGCCGTTTTGGTGCATGACTAGCTGTTCGAAACTTTTGGGTGCGGGGGTGGGGAACGTAGCCGGCGAAGCTGTGGCCGCATTGGCTCTTAGCTGAGTGTAGTCCGATATTGCCCTGGTGACTGGTTCACGAACTATAAGCAGAAGCTTCACACTCGCGTTCATTGCTCTTATTCTTTCGGGGACCTAAAATTATGTAATAACGATTTAAATTAGTAATTTATTTACATTCGTAGGCTTATTTTCATAGTGTTTTGAACCTATGAACCCAACCTTCTCAGTGACCTTTTACTTCTTAATATTTGTCTTCAAAATAATGCTTGACAGTTTAAAAGGTACATTTTTTTAAAATGAGAAAAAATTATTTCATAGATACAAAAATACTTTTTCCAGAGGTACGTCTATATAACAAGTTTCGTCATATATCTGCGTGATACAAGAATATGAAAACAAGTATATGAAAAATGTCTATATCTATGTGGCAGTTTCATCTCCCCAAAAAAATCCCATATGTATTTTTCGCCACTGCAAGAAAATCTACAAAATAATATAGTTATTTTATGTAAACACTTCAACGTTAATCCCAAACGGAAACTACTTGTCGGAAGTTAGGTTTAAAGATATACAAATTTGCCTAATTTGGTTTTTGTAGACGTATCTGTTTTAAAAAACTAAAGTGTTCTCAAATAGTTGAATTTAAATATTTTAAATAGTTTTTTTCTTTATTCTTTGTATTTTTTTGCTTCCGACGACGGAAAGAGATAAACGTTCCGAAACGTTAAGCATTTTTTTGTTCGTTAGGCAAATTTGTATATCTTTAAACCTAACTTCTGACAAGTAGTTTTCGTTTGGGATTAACGCCAGATGTGTTTACATAAAATAACTATTTTATTTTGTAGATTTTCTAGCAGTGGCGAAAAACCCATATAAGATTTTTTTGGAGAGAAGAATATATTATATGGAAGTAATATTCAATACATATCAAGATCTTTAAATACGGGCAATCTTACTCTTTAGTTCTGTTAATGAAAAATCATGTGATATTTAGAAATAGAAAGTATATATTATTCAATGTTTAATATAAAAAATGCACCAATAATAGTGGATAATCTTACGCTTGAGTACACCCAACTTTTTACGGTTGTATAAGCGCGGGTATATAAGCAGGCTCCGATTGTCTGTATTTATTTTAACTTATACAATGTCAAGTTTAGACTTGATATCGGTCAATGATTGTAGAGTGTATAGAAGGAAGGAAGTTAATCACCGCGACTTAATAGATAAATTGTGTCTCCTATTTCTTGAGTTATAACTCATTATACAGACTCAGGGCTATGTGAAAAGCATAACTCATTATACAGACTCAGGGCTATGTGAAAAGCCTGTATCTGAGACGGTTTTACAGACGTTAGTTCTCCATCTCCAATATCTGTCACAGTTTATGGCAGGAAAGATTGTCGCCTCTAGTAGGAGGAATTTATTTTGTTTGCATAATGCTCAGTGATACATTTGACCCAAACGTTGTGTAATTTAAAATAAATAAAGACAATGAAATTCCAAAATTATTTTAGTATCATGTTACAAAGATATTATCTATGTGTGTTTTATCACTTCAAAATTATAACGGTTCTAAGAGTCTATTACGCTGTACTGTTCGGGTCGCTCTCAGGAGTCGGGTAAAGCGGGTGTGAGGCCGAAGGAAATATATATTATATTTCAAAAATCTGCCTAAAGCTTAGCCCAATCCTGTCGTGTTAAGCCACGCCCAAAATTCGAAACATACGTGCTTTGATTAAGGCTTGATTAAGGTTAGCAGAGCTTTAGCATTTGCCATAAAATAGCGAGCAATTTGTTACAAAACCATATAAATTATATATCACTGTAATCAAAAAACTTCAATCTATTTCTCCGTATTGTAACGGAATTTTAATTTATGTCTATATTTTCGAGAAAATTTAGTCCAAACATAAGGAATATTTTGTTGATGTTTGTCCATCAAAATCTTAAAAATAAAGAAGTTGTCTAAAAATGTGCTACAATACGGATATAGTATAATCCTTTATCTTTAATTTTCTTCTTCGTCGTAAAAATACCTAGCCAGTTTTACATAAAACGTTAAATGCCGAACGCTTATTTTGCTACTTTTTCGGACTAGTGAAATGGACTCTTTATATATTGAATATACACGTATTATAAGCATATTATCTATGTGTGTTTTTTATTTCCTTTACCTCTGGAGTGACGAAATAACTGGGACTCTTCTCGATCGTAATTTGTCCGTAATGCGAATGCGGCATTTGCGTCCTGTACCACTCGAGTCCCTTGTTATAATTCTCGTCCCTGTCGAAAAAGTGCACTTCGCCGGCCGCCTTCTGCACCATCGGATGGAGGTAGAGCATTTCGAGTAATGCGCGAGTGCCGCATTTTCGAACGCCCATTATTATAGCCTGAAAACGGAAATTTATATATACGACCCGTTTTGTTTCCTGTACATCTTCATTCACATCGATCGTTAAACTTTACACAAATATGGTTTCTATTTGCATTTTATAGTTACGTGGAATATGTTATCTTTTATTTTATTTTTAATGGTAAAAGTTTTACATACTCAAATGTAAACTATAATATTTTATTAATGTAGATTTAGTGCAATGTGGCTCCTTAAAAAATAAAATTACCAAAATAATGTTACTATAGTAGAATGTATAACAGAGAGTCAACAATAATTGTATAAAATATAATTACATTTTGATTTGTTTGAGGATAATATTAGTTCAATAGCTTTAATTACAGACTAGAATGGTCTGTAATAATAGAAAATAATCTTTTAGGATGCTAGTTATTATTACAATTTATTAATTAAGTATTACAAATCCTTAATTGATTAAATTTTAATCTTAAATTATTTGTATCTCAAGAAACTAATAAAACAATAAAATGTTAATCGTGTCCTAATCAATTATAACAAAATAAGCAACATTATTAGACGTTCGAGGTTTTTTCGTAAAAAAAATATTTGAATTTTCTTAAATTTTAAGATAAAAAACATAATATCTTCACAATATAGCAACATAGGTAGGGAAAATACAATAGTTCTCAAAATTTAACCAAAAAAATATTTATCTCAAATTTTCAAAGTAAAATAACTCGGTTATTACGGAGTTATTTGAAAAACGGTAAAGAGAAAATATGTTTTTTATCGAGATCTACCAGCCCTAAAATATTTGAACTTATTATTATACCTATATCACCCCCTGTATGTAATGAAAAATATAATGAATTAAAAATGATAACTAAAACTAACAGTAATACTATTTTTAAATAGGCAATACACTAATCAGTTAAATTCATCAAATATTTCTCTTTCTTAAACTGGTGAACGGGACCTACAGTTTATCGCCGAATCCGAACGGCACTATTTGGGAGGCTGTACAAGGCAAATATACTCAAGCTGGTTTGAGATGGCGACTCGCTGGTTGCTCTATTTTAGATCATTAGATATTTTTATTTTAAATAAATAAAGCGAGCGTACTCGCTGAGGTTCGAACTCAGTACCTCTCGCACAGCAGGCGACACGCTTCCGCTACGGCCGGCCATTATCAAATATAAAAAAACAATATAATTTAATAATAATATTAATTGTTTGATATTAATCATATATTCAGTGTTTTGTATGTTTGGGAAAAGATCTCTAATTACCTTTAAAATACAACCTATAAAAAATCTATATATTTATAATTATCCCTTATTACTTCAAGTTTCTGCTATTACTATTTTTATTCTCCCAGACTAATAGGTTTATCTAGTAATAAAACTTTCTTTACCTTCAAACTAAAACAAAACTTTAAGTGCGGCGTCTAAAGTCTAAAAATCCACAATAAGAAGCTTTGTAATAATAGAGACTAATTGCCTCTTTAACAAAATGTAAGACGATTAAATGAAAGGTAGTTAAAATAAAATACGAAAAGAAATTCAAATATTTAATATTACTTATACCGGGTGTGTCTCAAACGTGGTTCACCCCTAAAACTTTCTTATTTCTGATGTCTCCTAATATTATATAGGTATTTCATGAAATATCTAGGTAAAGAATATAAAAATGCATGTAAAAAATAATTTACTTAGGAACTATAAAGCTGATGTATACTATCTAAACAACAAACTTACTTGTGGTAGCCGCCTAACTGCAGTTGGGTAAAGCTTTCTGGATAGGAGAAATAAAGGTGGTCGACTGTTTTCTATATGATTGGATTTTTGCAAAGTGCTAAGAGCGCTGTCGTAAATAAGATGAAACGTGAGGAACAGAGACAGAAGCATTACGGTAAGTATTGCTAGGGCCATTTTGGGCCTGGAAACGCCGACTACCAGGATGCAGTCCGATGGGTCCCCTTCTACCGTACGAATTGCCGCCCTTGGCAGCCATCTGTAAAATATAGGTAATATAATACTAATACAACTCTCAAAAAATATTATTTATAAATACGTAGGTCAATGCATCAGAGACGGATCAAAAATTTGTTTTGAAAGTCTTTCAATTTTTTCAAGTTTGCAACAAATTGGAATGTTTTATATACCAAAGGCCTTTTTAATTATTTGCTAAATAACAATAAACATATTCTTATTTACAGTGTGAGTCTTAAATAAGTGCAAATATTTTCAGGGCTCGTAGATCTCGATAAAATAAACGTATTTTCTCTTTGGTTCCTCTTAGATGATATTCTAAGGAGAACAATTTCCAGGAATCATCGTGGAATATGGTGGACTCCCTTTAGCATATTAGAAGATCTCAGTTATGAAGATGACATCTGTCACCTTTCTCATGGTCCCGCGGATATGGCATCAAAACTACTTGACTTGGCAAAGGAAGCTCGAATTGCAGGTCTTAAGATCAATATTAAAAAAACTAAATCGATAAAAGCTTGTACCAACAACGTCGCTCCCTTTATCATTGGAACAACACCTATAGAGGAGGTAAATAATTTTACCTGCTTAGGCAGTATAATCTCAACCAACGAACGGAGGCACAGAGCAAGATATCATAAATAAAATAAACAAGGCCAGAATACCGGAATTTGGAATGCTCAACAATATTTGGAGATCTAGGCAGTACTCTCAACTTACTAAGCTTAGGATTTTTAATTCGAATGTAAAGTCAGTATTGCTGTATGGTGCAGAGAACTGGAAAATTACATCGCCATTAATTAACAAGCTCCAAGCTTTTTATAAACCGTTGTATACGAAAATTTGTGGGAGTATTCTGGCCAAATACTATCAGAAACGAGGATTTGTGGAGCTTGACCAACCAGAGGCAGGTGTATAACGAGACCAAACTTAGGAAATGGAGGTGGATTGGTCACACTTTAAGGCGAATCGGCAACAACATCGCTGGCAGAGCTATTGAGTGGAATCCACAAGGCAGTAGAGGAACCGGTCGTCCAAGACGCACATGGCAAAGGACAATTAAAAAGGAGCTCAAAGCAATAAACCGATCATGGCGAGATGTTAAATCAATTGCCAACAACCGAACCCGCTGGAGAGCGTTTATTGAAGCCCTATGTAGGAGTTAGCTCCGTCAAGCTCCAAGTAGGAGTAAAGACAACCGAATTTTCTCTTTACTGTTTTTCTTATAAGTCCAAAATAACCGAGATATTCAAGTTTGAAATTAAAAGAAAATTGATTTATTTTTAAAAAATGTTGAGTCATCGGACTTTTTCTGTATTTGCATATCTTTTAACGCCGTAACCTTGGTAATATCAGAGATTAAGAAACTTTACCGTGGAGGCAAGTTTGCGGTGAACACACACTTCTAAAATGTTATCTAAAATATACTGGTAACAACGATTTTACATATCTTTTTAGCAAAAAAAAAAACAAACCATAAACATGTTTCTGGGGTCGAAATGTACCATCACTAAAAAGATTTGCACTTATTTAATAACCACTTATTCGACGACTCACTTATTAAGAGGCACTTATTCTTTAAGTGGCTATTACTTTCAAATATTGGTATAATTTTTTTTCTAATAGAACTAGAAATTACTTAAAAAATATTTTATTGTCCAGATTCCAACATAGAGAACTTCTAACCCAGCAAAAATTTTAATTAACTCAACAATTTAATACTTTTCAACTTCTTGTAATTTAACTATCTACTACTTGTATGATTTTGTACTTTTAAAAACTACAGGCTCGCCATTAGAGATGGGTACGTACGGATAGATATAAATCCACGGACTTCTGTCCGGTGCCGGTACTGATGGATACAGATCCTGCTTAATATCGACCTATCCGCGAAACTATATTGCTCACAGCCAACCGGTCACGTCGTCGACAGATAACGAAAACATAACGATGCAGCGAAATAAATTAGTATTGGAGAGTATTGGAATAAAGAGGGAATTGTAACTGCTGAGTTGTATTTACTGTTTTAAGTTTACTTTCGCGGAATCGTAACCGTATTCAAAATTATTTTATATTATTTGAAATTTGTGTTATGTAGTGTTGTTACTTTATTGGGAAATTCAGGAAGTTATAGAATATGTTATGATTGTAGAGGGTTCGTCAAAAAAATCAGCAAACAAAGTTCAAATAAATAGTTTTAGTTTTTTTCTAAAAAATGCAATTTTATTTCTTAAAAATATTATCTGTTAAATGCAGATCATTTTGCTTCTAGCATGAAGCAAAACTTTAAGCGGCAGTCTGGACTATCTTTTATTGTATAGTATGCAAAGTTCGTAAAGTTCGTAATGCTGTCCCCCATAGTCATAAATTTGAACCTTAGTGTACCTCTACTAAATTAATAGAACAGCTAATATCAGATGATAAGGATTTCGCAAAACACAAACATCAGATTTTCCTAACGGTCTACACAGCTTTTGAACGAGGATTGCTTCATGCAAAACAAAATTTAGATAAATTAAAATGAAAGGTTAGTATGATATAGATCCGGCAGAACTGAAACTTGGATGTAGGTCCATGAAGCTTTATGTAACTTTGGATTCGAATTTTTTAAAATACCGGACCTACCCATTTGTATATGATGCGTATGCCAAATTGATTCTTTACTAGACATGCCGAATACATTTCGCATTTTTTTAATAACTCAATTATTTAATATTTACTCAATTGTTAGAAACACTTTGGAACGCACTGTGTTATACAGTATTAATTAATGTTTAACTACTAAACTAGAAGGAGGTTTGGACTATTAAAGGATTTATACTAAAAAGAATTTTAAAACTTAACAACTTTTTCAACTATTTCAGTTCAGATTCTATTCTCGTATACAGCGCTATCGAATCAATTTTCAAGAGAAGAAAAGCTAATGTATGTGCCCTTGGCACAGCAAAAGCTGCATTGAATACGAGCGGCCTTGTAATAATAACGCCCTTTAAAATTTAAATTTTCCAGTAACAAAAAGCTATTCAGAAGTTTCCACTGGGTTAATTTCAGAATAGTTTTTAAAACCTTTTGTTATTCTTTTTCACACAAAATTTTAATTATACATAACCTACATACAGTATATCGAAGTGTGGTGGTCGAACGCATCCTCTTCTTTTTTCTGATTTTAGCGGACTCATTCTAGTATGCGGTATACTTTGGCCATCATTTCATTTTACTTAATCTGCAATTAAAAAAACAAACAATTAGAACCTTTGTAAAAATTGTTTAAAGTATCCTTACAATACGTATATCTATTCTTTAAATAGAAATTAATCTATTCTTAAATCTAGGCCAACATGGGTTTACATTAATTTGTGAAAAAATCATATTTCAGATCAGAAAGCCAGTTCAAACTAAACCCAAGGGAATCGTTCGTGTAACGCCGACCTAGACATTTTCGTCGACGTTTACCTACGTATTTAGACATTTTTTTATAAGCCTTATTAATTAAACAATTTAAGTCAGTTCCACGTAAGGTGATAAATTCAAGGCGAAGTTCATCACAGGTATCGGTAGTGGAAATATACTTTAAACTGTTGATGACTGAGACGAGAAGAGGATTATAAAAGAGTATGATAAAGAGAGTGCATTTAGTTAATGATATAGAGAGATAGAGTTGATAAGTTAGACACTTAACGAGTTGATAGTTGATCGTGCAGAGGAGAAGAGATGTTGACAAAACTATAACTACTCTTAACCATACTTTGTCTTGGCATTTCCCAAATTGTCATTCGCATACTTTATATGATTTTTTTAATAAATAGACATTTTTCATGATTGTTCTAATCTAAAAAAGAGCACCTGGAACCAAAACCACCCTAGCCAAAAACTCCAACGCTAGGTCGTGACTGCAACAACAAATTCTAGTACTACTACTGCTTAAAATAATTTATAGTTTTATATTATACAGGGTGGATCTTAAATAAGTGCAAATGTTTTTAGGAGTAGTATATTTCGATCACAGAAACTTGTGTATGAGTTTTTTCGCGAAAATTGAATTTTTTTAAAATCCTTTTTTTTATATTTGCGAAAAGATGTAGTGGTTCTCAAAATTTAAGCGAAAAATCATTATTTTTAATTTTCAAAGCACTCGGCTACTTTGGGCTTTTTTTTGAAAACGGTAAAGAGAAAATATGCTTCTTTTCCAGATCTACTAAATATTGATAATCCCTGAAAATATTTGCACTTATTCAAGGCTCACCTTGTATAAATACCAAATATATTAATAATAATACATTGCAGTTTAAAACAGATTACATTTTTTTTCTCCAATTTTATTTTTCGTAACACAGAAATAAAATAAATTATAAATAATTTTATCACAACTATTTTCGTTAAAAATAAATTAATTCCTACGGTATAATATATTTAAAAATATTTACACTTATTTAAGACTCACCTTGTATAAATACCAAATAAATTAATAATATATATATATATATATAAATATTGCAGTTTAAAACAGATTTTTTTTCCTCAATTTTATTGTTCGCAACAGAAATAAAATAAATTATAAAAATTTTTATCAAAACTATTTTCTTTAAAAATAAATTAATTCTTACCGCAAGAAATTTAAAAATATGATAATTTACACCAATTCACAAAAGAACTAATCAATCTTTCAATAAATATCAAAACAATTTACTGTTGAATTATTATCCAATAGAAAAAATAAGACAGACGCTAAAGAAAACCTGAAAATCTATCAACATCTATAAGCAAAGCGCCGGAAGGGTACTCACTGCATGCCCACTGATATAGAAATAAAGCAGCGCGGCATACAATCGGGCTGTCGTTGAATGAGAAGTAGACTACAGTGTAGGCGTAACGAAAAGGTGAGAGGTAGTAGTTGCTCCTTATGTTTTTTTATGATTAATATTACGGTTTACTTTTTCTCTTCGGTAAAGTTATGAATAAAACCTACGCAATTCTGATTTGCATAGATATAAATAATATTTGAACGGAGGAGAATTTTATTTTAGAAGTCTAAGATATTATAATATATTTCGAAAATAATGCTCAAAGAATATTTTTTAAAATTTTTGTGATAAATATGAGAAATTTCCTATTTTGATATTTTTATTATATAATTTTCATTTAATAATACACAAGCAATGAGCATAGAATTAGTATTCTGTGTGTTTGAGAAAAGTCGTTGGTAGATTCTTACTTATATTATTTACACATATTATACGTACTTATTACTCTTACAATATTAAAATATTTCTTATATTAATTTATACCCACAATATTAAAATATTTTCAAAATTAATAATTATTGCTTAATTAAACTGTTTTCAATTAATATAAATGATTATCATCTACATTATACGAAATAAAAAAATGTTAATCATAGATTATAGGATTATGATATTTCTGTAGGTATATTAATACGTTAATTTTATATTGAATAAATAATAAACATTTTAAAGAAAATATTGAAACACATTTTTTGACTTGCTAATTGAAACGGCTTAAACTGTTAACGAATAGCAAATGAATCATTTTAATTACTCTAGAATATGCCTAGACTAGCTTCGAAAATAATAAAAATCATATGAACATTGGACATAAACTTTAGAAACATATTTTAAAAAGAATTTAATTTTTCATCGCTTTACATGCACTCTGACGCAAGATTCTCTTGATATGTTATCAAATGGGTAGTTAATTCATTTCGTAGGTGTACCATTTCTACACATATTATTTCTTTCTGTTCACAACTGTCACTTAGTTAGTCGGTAATTACCAACAAATCGACTTTTTAAGGCATACATTTGTCAGTTTGTGTTTATAGCCTAAAAATTTCCTAACTATGTTACACATACTAAGTATGGTTGCTTATATTATATATATATATATTTTTTTTTGATGGGAGGTCTGGTATTTTTATTGATTCTAAGAATTTTTTGGCAGCACTTCTGTGGTGGATATAGTAACTGGTACTATGGTAATTTTTTTTGTCTCCACTATTCCTTTAGTTCGTTACCGAGCTCCGCCTATGTCTTGAATTTTTTTCGGTATGTTGCTTGCAAATTGTTTTTATTTTGAAAAGTTATATCTATATACTGGCCTGTTGTGTTCAATGTTTTTATCTGTTATTACACTCCAATCCCAATACATTCTATGTGTTTGGTTTTCTAGGACAGGTTCCAGTATGTAGTTGTAGTAAGGTGTTTTATCTGCTTTTAGGTTGTACTTTTGTATAAGTATGTTGTGGACTATTTTAACAATTTTTTAGATATCATTCTATTTTACTCTATTTTTTGGATATTACTAAAATTATTTAATGCATGTTTATAAAATCAAGTAGATTAACAAATTTGTATTTAAAATAAAAGAAAAGGAATCGTACATTAAAAAATTATAAGTTTTTATAATAAGTTAATTTTAATATGCAGAATCTTCAGAAACGACAAGAAGAAAAATAAAACGGAAACTTTAGAAGTACCTACAACAATTTAAAGAAATGTATTATACAGGCTGTCCCTGAAATAAGTGCAAGTATTTTAACTGGTAGTATAGTTTAACCCCAGAAACACGAGTATGATTTTTTTTTGCGAAAAAAAAATTGAAAATTCGGAACTTTTGGAAAAAAATTTCGGAATTTTTCTTAGTTTTTAGTCAAAAAACATAATATCTTGAGAATATGGCAACATAGGTATTAGATTAAATTTACAAGAAAAAAAATCCAAAAAAGATCCAGTGGTTCTCAAAATTTTAGCAAAACATTATTTTTGCATTGGAAATTTTCAAAGTAAAATAACTCCGTTATTTTGGACTTATTTAAAAAACGATAAAAAACTATGAAAAAATATGTTTCTTTTATCGAGATCTACCACCCCTTAAAATACTTGCACTTATTTCTGGGCCACCCTGTATAAAACTGCTTATCTAGAAATATATATTTTACAATATAAAAATGATTTTGTCATAATTCTCTGCGCAAACATAAGAAAATAGAAATAAGGAATTAATAGAAATTACAGTTCGGTTTAAAAATATAATTTACCTAGTTTATATGAGACCTGATCTGTAAATATTTAGACATTTTATCTACTATCTATGGGAAAAGGTAAAATATTTTAATTTAATACAATAATATATCTGATATGGAGATTATTTAGTGGTATGTAAAACAAACACATTAATAACAAAATGTATATTAATGGTTAACATATATCCATAACAGCAGAAAGAGTTAAAAAAGGAATTAAGCAATTAAACCATTATTGGATAACTATACAGGGTGAGTCTTAAATAAGTGAAAATATTTTTTGGGCTAGTACCTCTCAGTAAAAGAAACATTTTTTCTTTACTGGTTCATTTCTTGTAAATTTAATCTACTACCTATGTTGCCAAATTATTAGGATATTATATCTTTTAACTAAAAATTAAAAATATTTCCCAATGTCAATAAAAAATTATCAAAAAAAACATAGACGTATGTCAGGTGTCGAAATATACATCCCTAAAACCATTTGCACTTATTTGTAACTCGCCCCGTATTTTTTTTTTAAATATAAAATAAAATAATAATTTAAACAGTTAAAGTATATTTTTTTTGTAAATAAAGTAATTTATTAGTATTTATTAATCGAGTTTTACATATAGGTTTAGTATAGAGATTATTTCACATTGAAGAAATACCAAAATAAGAAAAGGGGCATCATACATTACAAAATTATAACATTTTGATAAAAGTTGATTGTTATAATCATATAGAGTTACAAAAGAAACGCAAAAAACAAGATGGTACGTGAACTACGCTAAAAGAGAAATTGTATTTTTTAATTGAAAGTTCAATACTGATTAGAAAATAAGTAGTGTAAAAATCTAACATCGGTAAATCTATCTTACTATGCGCGAATTGCTACTGCATGAAGTCGCTATTTAAATACTGCTATATTGCTTAAGAATGGAATACGCTAGAAAATTAAAAAATCTTCTTACCAGAAAAGTGATAACTGCTCGAGCTGATAACTGAACTTCGAAAAAACCTTATGTAATTACACTACAAAAGAACTTCTAACTGTACTAAGAAAAAAGCAAAATCTATGCCACTACAGAATAGCGCAGAGGGGTTCTCACTGCATGCGTTCCCACACAGGAATGATGCATCGTCGTCGCACTCGCGCTGCCTATGAATGGAAACGACGAGAGTAGCGCGTAGGCGTATCT